TCAGCCGTTATGGAGTCTCATTTCACTGCTATGCGGATGATACACAACTGTATTTGAAAACGGAAACAAACACCACTGCCAACTCATCGACATCACTTCCATCTGCAACACTTACCGCCTGTTTGGAGGAGATAAAGGTGTGGATGAAACACAACTTCCTCCAGTTAAACAGCTCCAAAACAGAGGCAATTCTTGTTGGCACTCCACATCAAATCCAGTCCTCCCCCATAACTGGCATTACTATCTCTGGTCATGACATTCCCCTCTCCACAACTGTCACCAATCTTGGTGTAAAATTGGACCCACAACTCGCATTCGAATCACATATCAAAAACGTCTGCAAGATTTCTTTCTACCATCTCAGAAATATCGCAAAACTACGTTCCACACTCACCCTAGCTGATGCCGAAAAACTGGTCCACGCATTTGTCTCCTCCAGACTGGACTATTGTAATGCACTTTTCATCGGGATCCCAAACAAAAGCCTGCAGAGACTACAGTATGTTCAAAATAGTGCTGCAAGGATCCTGCTGAGAGTGCGAAAATACGACCACATCACACTCATCCTCCATTCACTTCACTGGCTTCCTGTCTCCGCTAGGATTGAATATAAAGTCTCCCTTCTTACCCACCAGTGCATCTATGGAAACGCCCCCCCATATCTGAAAGAACTACTCACACCTCTAACAACACGATCCCTCCGTTCATCAACGACAAACTGTCTACTCCTCCCCAAGACTAAGCTCAGCACCATGGGTGATCGGGCTTTCTGCTCTGCCGCTCCTCGGATCTGGAATGCCCTCCCTGATCATCTGAGGGCACCTCAAACTATTGAGACTTTTAAAAAAGGACTAAAAACTTTTCTTTTTAGCAGAACTTTTGACTTTTAACTTTTGGCTTTTATGATTTTTATGCTTTTTTATTCTTAAACTGTAGCACTTTGAGATTTGCTCTAAATGTAAGGTGCATTACAAATAAAATTTATTATTATTATTATTATTATTAATCTACCCCGGTGGACCAGAATGGTGGTTTGAAAAGACGCAGCCTTGCCGGGGGCAGATCAGCCATCTTCAGCACTTCAGGAGAAGATTTCCATCTCTGACACTCCCTGCAACTGTGCTGATGTTTACGGATGGCTGGTCTTCCTCCTACAATCCAATACTTGCGTCTCAATTCTCCAAAGACCCTCTCTGGGCCCGGATGCAGCAGGGACTCATCAAGTTTCCAGGAAATGGTCATTGTTGTTACAGTATGGACAGAAAGGTTGGAACTTGGGTTTACCATAGAAGGTCATCCCTTTTCCACGGCCTCCTTGAACACTTGACTGGCTTTCCACAGTGGCTGTGTTGCTTAGGTACATAGCGGTAGGCGTCACCCTTCTCCCTTGACTTTTCTGGACTGGCTCTCGTCTCTCCACTGAAGCAGGGACTGAAACTTGTTGGGCAATACTCTTTGCTCTGGCTTTCACTTGGAGCCAGGCAGAGAAGTCTTCTAAGGTATATGTTTGTTCTACGCCATCTTTCAGGATGACACGATTCAAACAGTGCTCAACAAAACTGTCCCGGTAGTGAGGAGGAAGCTTGGTCAGTAGCCTGTCAACATGAGAGCCACACCGCAACTCACTTCCACCTGCACCGTCCACCGACTGCAGCATGCCGATCAATGACTGTACAGAAAGAGCAAAATCTTGGAATGTATGGCTATCTCCGAATCTGACTGGTGGTGAATGAAGGATGTCGGCTAGTTCACTTTGGACCAACTGCCGTGGCTGGCCATACTTTGCCTTAAGGGCAGCAAGAGCAGATGTATAGGGAGTTGAGGCGTGCATATAAGACTTTGCTAGCTTGTACGCAGTAGGCAGTCTCAAGTGGTCCATCAGAACCTGGAACTTATATTGTTCAGATAGGTGAGCATGAATATCTAACAGATTCTCCAATGCCATTTTAAGCAAAACAAAGTCACTTTCTCTTCCACTCTCAAAATAAGGCAGTTTTGGCTTGGGAATGCCAAAAGCAGTGGCTACTAACAGCTCCATGATACTAGCTCCTTCTGAGGTCCTGTCAATGGGCATATGCAAGGAAAGAGGTGCAGGCAATTTAGGAACTGGATCTGAGGGTCTTTGAATTTGGGCAGGACGAGGTACGGTCCGCGCTAAATGGATGAACGAAGGAGGTGAAGGAGTTGTCTGTCCTGGACTAGACGTCCGAACTGCTTGATGTATCTCTTGAACAGGAGGTAGAGTCTCAGCCTGACTCACCGGATTTACATGCTGAGGTAAAGATTGGAACGAAGTGGTTGGCTGATTCACTGGAACGGAATCAGGGACAGATATTTGAGGACTAACTCCGGGAGCTTGCTGCTCTGAAACCAGGTCTACAGGTTCACCTGACTCCAAAACTCTAGAGCTCATTGAAAAAGGAGCCAACTCTTGAGGTGGTGGCAGAGCAGTTGGATGTTCCATGGTCACTTCTCCGGTGAATGAGGTTATTAGCCGAGCCTCTTCCCATTCTCGTTGAACTCTCCGCAGCCGCCGCTGTAGAGTCAGAGAGCGGGAGATCCTCTCTCTCTCCTTCAAAGCTGCTTGTGCTTGCCTGTCCAGTTCCAGAGTCTGACCATCTAAGGCTTGTTCCTCCTGGATTTGAATTTGGATCTCTTGCAATTCTCCACGTTTCCTCCTCTCCTCAATAATGGCTGCCTGTAGAGGGGTGAGCTCCACCTGTCTCCTCTGACATGAGCTTCGTGAACTTCCACTGCTATAAGTGTACGTATAAGAGGTGGCTTTCTTCGACCTGGATAGTGACTTTCCTCATCCCTCTTTCCTCTAGATAGTTTAGGTCTCCCTTCTCTCTGTGAGGGTGGAGCTGGTTGTGAGGCTAGTTGTGGAACTGCATACTCCTCTGGTGATTTGGGCTGGACATAACAGTGGCTGATTTCTTCTTCCTCCACTCCTACCTCATTGGATTCAGTCTCCTTTTTGTCCTCCACGTCTCCATCCTCGACAGCTGTTGTGTTAGATGGTTTAGTTTCTTGGCTGTGATGAGGGAGACTCTTTGGCTTACTAGAAGCTTTTTCAACTGGAACCGGGAAGCCATAGCGGTCAGGTTGGCGCCTCTCCCGCCTGGATAAGGTGCTATGGGTTGTAACTGGAAGAGCCCTCTCCAACTCTTTCATCTTTTTCATCCATACCAATGCCTGCCATGGCAACCCTCACTCAGTCTCCGGCTCGAAGGACCATTGTAAGAACTGTAGGTTCATGGGAATGGTTCAGGTAGAGTAAGGTTGGGTGAGCAAACAGAGTCTCAGTCAAAAGACATCAAATGGTATGGGACGGTGAATGAGGTAGAGAGAAGGCAAAGGCTTTTGTTTTCAACACCAGTAGTATTTATTATTGCCTCATGCTTATTCACTTGAGGTCAATGCATTGTCTGTGTGCTGCATAAAGAAATAACAAAGAGATAATACAATTAGTGACAGTGATTAACACCTATTAGACAATTATATAAATGAACAACAAAAATGTGAGTGGACTAATCATAATAAAACAGGCTGTAACATATAATAAAAAAAAACAATCTTTACACATGGCTCAAGGCACTTGTGTGGCAAACAAACCAATCAATCAACAGTGCACATGTTGACAGAGTGGCAGTAAATCATAAAAAAAGCTTAAAGAGAGAAAACACAATCAACTAATAAATGAACTCACGTAATTCATAAAGACGCACACAGCTATGCATCCATGGTGCCAGGAGAAAGTGCAAATAATGAACCAAAGGGTTCAGAATCAACTTATAGACAACAGGTGAGGTGGGCATGGTCAGGTGACAGGTGGCAAAGTATCATGGAAAGAGCAAAATGGAGTTGAAAGGGAATAGAAGGGCAGGAGTCTTTTCAGTTACTTGAATAGTTTTTAAGCAAACTACTTATTTACTCATCATATTATTTTTCAGTACTTCTACTTGTACTCAAAGTAAATTATTACTTAAGTTGCAATACTTTTACTTAAGCACAATTTGTTAGTACTCTTTCAACCACTGCTTATACTGTCTTTTTATGCGCCATGCTACGGGTGTGAGAACACTGTTAACACAAAACCATGTCTGCATTTGTGATCGTAGAAACAACATTCAAGCGCTACTGATCAAAACTCATGTTTGAATAATGAATAGTCAGTAGCAAATTCTTAAAATATGAAAACATACTTAAAGGCAGTGTCTGTGAGTCAGAAGCGGGCAAACTACTTGCAAAGATGGAATTGCCCCACTTTTTGAATCAGCCTTTGTGCACAGCCGGCCTTGTACTCTCCCAGGTTCTGAAAACAGTCCTCTGATGGAGGAAATGCGCAGCACGCAGCCGAATAGTTTGGTTGTGCTGTTCTGGAACAGTTGTAAATAAATCTTAACCACTGTTTTCTAATTGTGCCCTCTTTTGGAAGGCCAAAGAAAGTAGTTTGGCTTTCGCAACGAAAAACACAGTGTCTCCATGACATGGCAGCAACAATAATACAACGAGAATAAAAGTTATGTCTTTCTTTATGTATACATTTGGGCGGTTTTATCAAACTCTGCCCCCACAGACTGACATATTTTTGTGGGGGCGTTTTTAATGAAGTGTTTTAGGAAGGTGTGGCTGAGCCTTGACTTTTACAAAGCATATCTCTTTGCGTTCTCTTACTTTTTACGTGTGAACTTTTTGAATAACTGTTTTTTTTATTATTAGTTCTTAATCACAAGACTGATTTGAAAAAAGGATTTGAATAATTTCTGAAGGAATTGTAGATCAATCTATACTTCATAATGACAAAAACTAGATATATGATAACTTATATGATGCAATATGATGCAAATGTAAAAAAAAAAAATGAAATACTGACCTGAAATCTGACACATTCTAACAGCATTGCTTACTAGTAAATACATCATCACCAACAATAAAAAAGGGATATTTAAAAAATAAAAATTAATTTTGATGTATTAATTTTGATGTGTCTTTTTCAGGCAGAACATGGGGGCCTCAAATGAAAGCACATTGTCTTTGTTTTTCCGTTCACTGCTACCAAACTTCAACCTGCAGGTGAGTGAATGTGCCACAGTATATCCAAGAACAATTTACTTCTGTTTAGAATTTTCTGGTGGTTTTCATGCCGGAGTCATATGACGCAACATGGCGGAGTAGTCGTATTTCTGTGAAGCTGTAGTGTAACCAGAGGTCGCGTTAAAATAAAAATGATGGATAAAAATAAGTCTGATTAGTGCAAGATAGGTTTGTAACGGTTGTTCATAAAAAATCGAACCGTACCATTCTCCACCTACAGTTCGGCATCGATGGATGCAAATGCTGACCCCCCAATAATAGATTACAACAGCGAATAGCCACAAAATGTGAACAAAATGGTCACTCACACAGAGAGCTTGTGCACACTGTGAGAAGATGTGTGTTTGTGCACTCATCTGAAGCGCAAACATGTCTCAGACAGTGTGCAATATTGATCTCTCTTTCAAGTCTTGCACTTGAATGGACAAATTCACAAAACTCAGAAAATTAGGACAAATTCACAGAATCTCAGAAAATTAGAATATTTCATGAAATCAATAAAAAGTATTTTAAATACAGAAATTTCAGCCCTCTGAAAAGTATAATCATGCATATGTACTCTGTACTTGGTTTGGGCCACTTTTACAAGAATTACTGACTCAATGCGGTGTGGCATGGATGCTATCAGCCTGTGGCACTTGTGAGGTGTTATTGAAGACCAGGATGCTTCAATAGCAACCTTTAACTCTTCTGCATGGTTCGGTCTTGTGTCTCTCATCTCTCTCTTGGCAATGCCCCATAGATTCTCTATGGGGTCCAGGTCAGGCGAGTTTGCTGGCAAATCAAGCACAGTAATCCCATGGTTATTGAACCAGGTTTTGGTACTTTTAGCATTGTGGGCAGGTGCCAAGTCCTGCTGGAAAATGAAGTCAGCATCTCCATAAAGCTTGTCTGCTAAAGGAAGCATGAATTGCTCTAAAATGTCCTGGTAGATGGCTGCGTTGACTCTGGACTTAAAGCACTGTGGACCAATACCAGCCGATGACATGGCTCCCCAAACCAACACAGACTTCACACTGGACTTCAAGCATCTTGGATTGTGTGACTCTCCATTCTTCCTCCAGACTCTGAGACCTTCTAAGACAACATGTTCTATGCAAATGAAACATTCCTCAAATTATTCCAGTAACATTTATTTTAACAGTTTTTAAAGGTGGAATACCTAAGATTTTTGCATTAAAATATCCCAAAATCACAAGGCCAGTGTTATATATTTAGTTAAGATGATAACTTACAATGTTCCAAATGTTTCAAGCAATGTTTAAATCGCGAGAAAATTGAGATTTTAACCAAGGAAACGGGGCGTGTGAGCAGGGGTGTGCTGGGAGTCTGTTCTGTTCTGTTCTATGTTATGATTGTACTGTACAATTAAATACAATCGTTGCTGAGTCTGCATTCTGAAAACTTTACCTCAGAGCATCCGTTAACTGAATGAATTGAGAATCTCACCTGAAAAATCTAATAACATCAGCAATTGTCATTCAAGCAGCGGATTTCTGTAAATGAATGCAAAACTAAATGCATATTATTGCAGCATAGGGCGAAGTCAGGATCCATTAGCAACGATTTGACTTCAAACCCTTTCCACCATAGCTTCGTCCAGTGACTCAAACAGTAACATCTGTGATAACTAATTTACTTTTAAACCTGACTTTTCTTGCGGCTATTTCAGTTTAATGAAAAACAAGCATGTCATTAAACGCAACATTTATAGAAATCGAACTTTATCTCATCCATGACAACTAATTTTCGATTCCCGTCTGACTGATTTATCCACAGTGGAGTTGAAAACAACAGTTCCCATCATTCCGCGTTCCTCCACGTTGTCATCAAGCAAAGCCGTTGTTGTTTTGAAAGTAGCGCCCTCTAGCGGCATACAATCTTAGGTATTGCCGCTTTAATTTATCAATAAAATATAGACTATTAATTAAATGATCAAATTGTTAGTTATATGTTCATAAGATATTTTGTGACGAGTAGACGAACCGGGTAGCCCTCGCTAATCATCCGCTAATTATCCAGTTGTGGCACTTGTGCCTTCTAAACATGGGTTTAACGACTTCTAAAAAGTATGTAATACACTTTTATATTAATGGTAAGGTACTACTTACGAATAAAAAATTGAGATGGACTAAATGGCTCCGCGGCCAGCGCCGTCTTTGATTCAGTACAAGGACACGTTGGATCGCTGCCATAGTTGGTTACTTACTGGACACCACCCTGATTACCCATTTATAGATCATAGCCATTTAGAGCCAAATTGTTTGTCAGATTTTAATTATCAAAAGTAATTTCCAATTTTAAATGCTTTAATGACATTACGAAATAGCCTAGGCTAATTACCACCATATTAGTTCTGATACGAAATAAAGTAAACTTCATGAATAGGCCTGTATCCATTGCGAACATATTTAATTATTTGTCATAAATGTCCATAACATAAAATCATTGTTGAGCCACAACATTGTCAACATACCATAGTGTACTGCGCTGCGCTGATTTCTAAAGACTGCTGCACAGTGACGACGACTAGGGTCTTGAGCTCAAACAACGCTAAGAGAGAGCTTACGAATGGTCCAGACCAACCTTACAAAACTGTGACTTAAAGAAGATATTCTTAACGTACGAACGTGTCGGGAATCATGCCATAAAGTTAAGAAATAGGAATAGGTTAAGAACTACTTAGCGATAAGAACGTTTTGGGGAACCAGGCCCAGTTCTTTTTTTCTTTAGCCCCCAGGTAAGACGCTTCTGACGCTGTTTGTTGTTCAGGAGCGGAATACGACATTTGAAGCCCATTTCCAGGATCCATCTGTGTATGGTGGCTCTTGATGCAGTAACTCCAGCCTCAGTCCACTCCTTGTGAAGCTCCCACACATATTTTTAATGGCCTTGTCTTGACAATCCTCTCCAGGCTGCGGTCATCCCTGCTGATTTTCTTTCACACTTTTCCCCTCCACTTAACTTTCTATTAATGTGCTTTGATACAGCACTGTAAGAAAATCCAACTTCTTTTGCAATTACCTTTTGAGGCTTTCCTCCTTGTGGAGGGTGTCAATAATGCTTTTCTGCACAACTGTCATGTCAGCAGTCTTCCCCATGGTTGTGAATTCTACTGAACCAGACTGAGAGAGACCATTTAAAAGCTCAGGAACCCTTTGTAGGTGGTGGGCCGGACCTCGAATTTACGAATTTAATACTTGCCTCACAGCTGTGTAAGTCTTTTTTCTGCTAAGGTCATGTAATAAAATACTGTACACAATAATTTACAGTGTACACAATAATTTACAATAATACACAATACAATTTACCATTCGCAATACATGTTAACTCGTAATCAAATACCTTTTTAAAAGGACTTTAGCCCTCAGGTGCTCTTCGTTTCGGAGTCACACTTGTTATCTTCCCGGTCAAAAGTGGCCGGACACCTAAAAATGAAACTTTCTCCATCCCAGTAAAACCAATGCAATTTATTTTTGTTCTATAGTATTTATTCTTTTTAATTTAGTATTTTGAGACAATTTAAATGAATTTATTAATATTTATGCAATATGTATGGTTTATTTTTGCCATGGAAAAATATATATTATATATTATACATTTATATATAGAGAGTCTAGGCCTTCAGAAAAAAAATATATTTTTTGAAGAAAATTAGCACCATCTGGTTACAGTATAGAGAAAAAGCGTAGAATCATGGTGTAACCACTAGATGGCATGTACAGCTCTCTATGGAGAGGCATGTGAATTCCCCAGCTGTTTATGAACACATTTTTTTTGTTGTTGTTGTTGGTGGATTTGTATATATAGTTGAAACAATCTCAAAAACTATTTCTTATAAAAAAAAATGACAAACAAATATTCACATTTTTCCCATTCATTTCCTATGGGGTAATTTTTGACCAATTAAGACCACTTAGCATACTCAGATCATGACCTCAATTTTTTTGTGTGTTCACATACATAATGCCATTAAAGTCACCAAGTTTCGTAACATTGCGATGAAGCTGTGAAATCAAAATTTATTGGTGTGTATGTGTATAAAAGTGTGTTTGTATGCGTGTGTGTGTTGGTGGGTGTGTCTGTTTTGCACTCTAGTTGTTGTCAGTGGTGGAGGAAGTACTGAATCTCAGTACTTAAGTAAAAGTACAAATAACCAGATAAATATTTACTTTAGTAAAAGTAGAAGTAACACAATGACAACCATACTTAAGTAAAAAGTAAAAAGTACCTGATTTTAAATGTACTTTAAGTATTAAAAGTAAAAGTACTTGCATAACAATTGATTCTCTTAATGACTATTTTCTAATGATTAATAAAACATTTGATTCTAATTCATTCAAACTAATACTAATACTACTAATGTTCAATAATGATGGAAAAAAATTGTTGTCACCATTTCTGAAACAAGCTTGCAATTAGGCAATATAAACCATATACTAACTTATGTTAATAACTATGTTTGGCAGTAAACGCGATTAATTTATGGTAAAATTATGAACCTCTTGGCTTGCCATAATCCTAACCAAATGTATATTACATACGGTGTTTCCTATGCACGTAAAAACAAATTTTCGCGTATAAATTGCACGAAAAACACACTGCGTGCGAGACGCATTTAGTTGATGTATCTATGGCAACCAAATGTCACTGGTGAGACAAACGTGCAACGAACGGACGGTCAGATTATGTTTTGGAAGGGGAAAAACTGATCAGAAAATGTAATGAAAAAGTAACAGAAGTTGTAGAAATGTAGTGGAGTAGAAAGTAAAATAATTGCTGCAAAATGTGACGAAGTAAAAGTAAAAAGTATGCACTATTTATTCTACTTAAGTAAAGATACGTGAAAAATGTACTTAAGTAAAGTAACAAAGTATTTGTACATTCGTTACATTTCACCACTGGTTGTTGTAGAGTGTCACCCCTTTCTTGCGGTGTACTTTTTTTTTTAGAATTGTGGCCGATTTGTAGATTGTACA